AACATACACCCTGTTCTTAAGCAGAAGATTGAACCTCAAGTAGATGTCAATACAATCCAGTGTCAGTGAAAATATCAACAGGATGGGGAAGGGTAGCTTGATAAGCAGATTTTAAGTTTCATGGAAAAATAAACAAGCAAGAGCCCTGGCTGGTGTGGCTCAGTGGAATGAGTTCCAGCCTGTGAACCAAAGGGTCACCGGTTTGATTCCCAGTCAGGGAAACTGCCTGGGTTGTTGGCTGGGTTCCTGGTTGGGGGTGTGGGAGAAGCAGCCATCTCATGTTTCTCTCCCTCCTTCAGCTCTCTCTAAACATAAATAAAATGAAATCTTTAAAGAAAAGGAAAAATAAACAAGAATATCCAGGAAAACACTAGGAAGTAGCATGGGAGAGGACTCTGATCGAATAATGAACTCATTAGATATAAATAGTAAGAAATCAATGAGACAGAGTAAAAGTCCAATAGAACCCCAAATCAGATTTAAGAACTAAACAGACCTGTAGACAATATTTCAGTACAGTGACAACTGGATAGCCGCCTAGAAGAAAAGTAAAGTTGGATTCCTACATCTCAGTACCGGACACAAGTTATATTTTGTATGGATATGTGCATTTAACTTAAAAATAAAGTTAATACAAATACCTGGGGAAAAAAACAAGAATTTTCATTTTCATTTTAGTCAAAAATAATGTTGAGATTGGGAAGACTTTTCTATGATACAAAAATCCAAAATGGATTGATAATTACAACTGTAACATTTTTCCCTTCTGCTAAAAACATATACTATTAAACAAAATCAACAGCCAAATGACAAACTGTGAAAAATATCGGCAACATATATCAAAGACAAAACACCAATTTCCTAAAAACAGAGTTTCTGTAAACAATATTAAACATACCAATAGAAAAATGAACAAAAAATATATAACCACATGAATAAAAAACATAATCAGATACTATAAATAAACAAATATGGTTCTTATACCTCCTGAAAAGGTGGAAAAATATACCTACTGCATTGGGTGTGTTTAAAAGTCTGATAACTCACTCTGCTAATCAGGGGTATGGGAAGCCAGCAATCTGACTCCAATAGTGGAACATCAACTGGTACAACCGCTGTGGAGGGCGATTTGACAATATCTATCAAAATTTAAATAGTACGTATCCTTTGACCTGCAATTGTACTTCTCAGAAAGTATCCTAAAGACAGACTCACTCAATGTGAAAAGTTACAGATGCACAAGGATATACACTGTGTCACCATTTGCATTACCCCGACTAGTGCACGTTTTAAGTGACCAGCCAAACAAAGAAATGGTACCTCCCTCTCACCCCCTACCTACATCTTTCTGAAAAGGATACACAAAAAAATTGTATCATTGGTTGCTTCTAGGGAAGGAAGTCAATTAGCTGAGGTCAAAGGTAGAAGGAAAACTTGCTTTTTATCATATGCTGTTTTGTACCATTTGGATTTTATATCATAAACATGTATAACATTTTTAAACTTTCAGATTTCAGTATTATTTTTACCCAGCTTTACCAATTGTTACAAGTATTTCTCTCTTTTCCCGTCAGTTTTCCAGTTTCTACATTAGCAACAATGTCTTGTTTTCCCAGCTAATGCTATGCACAATATTTAATAAAATTCACAGTTAATCACAACCTTAACTTGGATTCCATTATCCCCATGAGCTCCTTGCCCCTGAGCTCTACCTCTGCACACCTCCTCTACAAAAAGCACTGTTCTCTATTCTTTACTGTTTGTGTGGAGATTATGACAGTAAAAATCCAGGACCAAGAAGCCATGAATTTCTCGGCCTATGGGACTAACAGTCACTACCGCATTTTAGGAGGCAGCAAAAAGGCAAGAAGCTGTTCAAACAAGGTTTCACAAAATGTCATTTGTGCTGTCACCAGGGAGGGTCTAGTCCACTACTTTTATGTGTAAGAACTTGATTTTATCCATTTGTCCAGGGTCAGTGGGGCCTATGAAGAGAATGAACAGCACCAATGAAATCAAATTCACCAAAAACGACTTGCTTACACATAATGACGGTGTATTAATTTAGAATTTAAGAATTATATATATGAATATAAGTAGTTGTGTGTGTATATATATATCTCTCTCTTAAGAATACCAATTCATGCATATCAAGGACTCACACACAAATGGTAAGAATGCCCAGGATAGCCACATGGTGCTATGAGTGTGTACAGGGAGACGAGAACAAATCAGAAGGTCAGAGAAGGCTTCTCTGAAAAATACAGTGTAACCAAGCTGAGATCCAACTGAAGAAAACTTTAAAAAAGAGAGAACAGAATTATGAGGAAGAGGGTTCCTGGATGTTGGGGTGGCAGGTGCAATGGCCCTGAGGCAGACGGGAGCATGATATGTCCACAGAGGTGAGAAAAGATCAAAGGGCAAGACCATATGACACAGAATTAACTAGCGAGTTAACTACCATGTGGTTAACCATGTGGTGCCTGGTAGACCACGTTAAGAATTTTTGCCTTATCCTAAGCAATGAAAAGCTAGTAAAGGGTTATTAACCCAGATGGGAACAAATCTGCGCCTGCAAAAGGTCAGCACGCTATACGAACTGCAGGCAAGAGGAGAAACAGGAAGACTGCTTTAGGAAGCTACTGTAGGAGACGCAAGTGACGGGTGATGGCAGCACAGACTGGAGTTGGGGCAGAAATAAAATGAGTAGTTCTCGGCGACTGGTTACACCTGAAATGCAAGAGAAAAGAACATGTGAAGGAGGATACCCAAGTTATGAATTTCCATAACTGCATGGAAAGAGAGAGAATGCTCCAGGAAGACCAGGCTGTTTTATTTCACTGTGGGCTGGGCAGAAGAAGGTAGATGTATAAAAAGTAAGAAAGGGGTATCGGTACTCAGTATCTGGAAACCCTGATAGAAAAGGATGAAAAATGGAAAATGGCATTGGAGTTCAAAGGAAAGAGAATGTTAACTACAAAAACTTAAATATGTATGCATGCATGTACGTATTACCTCCAGGGTCAGCCATAAAACCAGCCTAGACATTTCTCTCTCTCCATCACCTGAAATCTTTTTAAACATCTCAAAATAAAACCTTTCAGTAAAGGGGGAAGAGAAGCCCAAATGCAACACTTAGGAAAACAAAGCATTGGTGTGAAAGAATTTCAAAGTATATATTGAAGATATCGGATGTTCCCAATTCTGAGAATGAAGAAAAGACAGAAGCTGCCTACTTAGGGAAGGAAGAATGAAGAGAAAGAAAGCTGAAAGGAAAGGTTGATGACCCCACAGCATGAATTCTCACAGTTTAAACACGTTTATCTTAACCTCTGGACAAATGGCTGTTCTTGGCCTAGTGTGCTAAGGGAATGAAGAAATAATAGCTCCACACCAAGGCCCCAGATCAGAAATCATGGCTTCCACTGCCATCAGGTGGTGGCAGAGAGGAAATGCACCAATCTGGTTCTTGGAGTCTGGAAATGCCTCTATGAAGCCCATGGTGTAAGGAATCTAAGACCCAAGACCTAAAGACTGCAGTAGTAAAAGGCAAGCTGGTGATAGCCTTTGGTAAGAAATTTATCTTCTAATCTGTCAGTGCACCAAAATATACACTTTTGCTATTAATTTGGGGTAAGAAAAGAGACTTTTTTCTTTTTCACGTTGCAGATCACATACTATTTTCCAATTGTAAAATATCCAGTCTGATACTATCCTCTCAAAACCAACTCCTGGTATATTACACATTTGACTACTTAAAACTGCTTCAATGTGAATTTCAATGGCATATAAAAATGGATTAGTGTGCATTTCTAGCACACATCAGTAACCTTGTCACAAACATAAGCAATTGTCTCATTGATTGTGCAAAATTCCCTTTGTTATCTTCAAATTAATCAAATAACAATTTTTGACTACTTAGAAGTACAAGGCACAGTAATAAATACAATTCAAAAACCATTGTGTTCTCAAAACTCATCAGCTAAACAAATATGTCACTGATAAAATCAACTTCAACATTATTCACAAAAAACATGGTGAATGATTAACACATCATCCTGATAGTTCTCTTCATGGTAAAAATAAGCTTACCCAACCAATACTTGACATTCTGTGCGTTTTACTTCCCTACCTTCTTTACTACACTGAATATTCACTTACAAATGTATATCTTTACAATTGTCTGCACATACATTTCCATTTGATTTGTCTTTGTTTTTTAAGGCAACTCAGAGGATAGGGAACTGTAGGCCAAAACGTAAAATAGTCACATGGGTTACATTTTTTCCCAATTCTTAACCAGCTTTTCTTTTTTTTTAGAGTAGACACAGTATAATTTTGTCAGTATATTCTTGACTCGTTTTCTCCCCTTAAAATGCAGTCACACAACCCATTCTGTCTCTGGACATTGCAAAATATGAATAATTCGACTAGTTTTCCCTAATTCTCTTGGTTCTGTTTTCCCATCCACCTCCCTACAAACCCCCACCCCCAATCCTCCTTTTTTTGTTTCAGAATGCCTAACTATTGCACACTCGAGGTGGTTTTTACAAAATCGCTCTCCTGGAATGCTCTTCCCTCTTCTCTCCTTAAATGAGTACCCTTTGAAAAACAATTTCCACAGCTAGACGCCAATGTCTTTTTTTTTTTTTTTTTCTTAACAAGATCAAACTGCGGAAAAGGAAGAGACTGGGAACCGAGTAAGCGAAACATTTGGGAATGTCAATGAGACGGAGGCTCTCCTTTGAAGAGAAAACACAACTCTCACCACAAAGATTGCAACAGAGCAAAAATACTTTCTTTTCCGTTATGTTCCTGTTCACTCCCTGACCTAAAAGACACCTTTCCTTTTCTCTAAGCCCCAGTCCTTTTGCGATATGTGGGGCCTGCCTCTCCTCCTCCGAAGGAAAAGAAAGCCAGGGAGAAAAGAAAAGGTAGTAGTCACCTTCCCGCCGCGCCCGCAAGCTGTCAGGAGCCCCGGACTACGTCCCACGACTCACCTGGTAGGTGCGGCCGTCCGGAGAGTTGCACGAAGCGGTTGAGCTGGCCAGTCCCCCGACCCCCGCTGCCCCCACTGCCCCCGCCGGCCCCGCTACCTCCGCCGCCACCACTACTTCCCGCGGCGCCTCCTCCCCTCCGGCGGTTCCTGTCCCAGCCCTGGGCGGCCGACATGACCCGCTAACGACTGCCGCAGCCCGGTCCCGGTAGCCCCTGGCCCGGCCGCACTAGCCGAGCCTCCTTCCTGGGCTCCTCTAGAGACCCGGGAGACAGGAGAAGGGGGAGCGCCCGGTCTTCACCACCGACCAATGACTGGGTGACTTTGTGACAGACAGCCAATAACCAGTTGCCTTCTTGGCAGGTGGCGGGAGGCGGGGAGAGACGTGGTAACCATAGCTATGGTTTTAAAAAAAGTGGGGGTAGAGTAAGGCAAAAGCAGCCACTCCTCACTCGCATCCTCCGCGCTCAGCGAGCCGGCGTCGCGACGCCTCCTGCAGGAGCAGGCGGGCCAATCGAAGGCCGAGCGAGAGAGGCCACGCCTGCAGAAGGAGCCTGGGCGGCGGCAGGTACGCTGGGCGTGCTGAGGGTCCGGGAGCTCTTCTGCGCCCAGAACACTGAAATCAGGAATAGCATATGCTCGTAATACGCATAGGTGGAGGCAATACAGTGTTCCTCCAGCCCTACAGACTGAGATTCCTTTTCCTGACCGCAAACACAAAGGGCGCTCGGCCGGGGGGAAATGCAGGGGCGGGGTCAAATCTTCAAGAAGGAGGTAAACCCGGGTTTCATTTCTCTTGTCTTTGAGTCTGACTGAACTGACTGAAGTCCCTAATTGAGTGTAAGCCATGTCGCAACCAAACAATGTTAAACCTGGTTACCAAACATGGGGAAATGTTCAAGCTCACCAGTAATCGGAGAAACACAAATTAAGACAGCTCCCCCCCCCGCCCCGCCCTCGCCCTGACAAACCATTTCTGGCTCGTTTACGTTAGTAAAGATTTTTAAAATAACACCAGCAGTGAATAGAGTGCCAAGAAAAAAAGGTACTTTCATAGGGGACTGATGGCTATGTAAATGTTTTTGTTCAATCAAACCTCTTGCGGAAAATTTTGATCAGCTTAAAGACAGGAACAATTACGGAAGATCGAAGAAAATTGTAAATGTACACATCAAAAATTCCCATTGTTCCAAAATTAAACAAAAAAAATGGCTTTGAACTTACTGGGCGCGGCGCGAAGTTGGAAAATACAGATTGTTCACGGATGTCTATCAATCATAAGGGGAAAGCATATAAATTCTGCAAGGAAAACAAAGTTTTCCAGGTTTTAGATCTGGTGGCTGTGTGTGTTTGGTACTTCATATAGGAGAGCCTCATATGATGTGGAGAAAGAGAAAATCTGCTGGAGTTGAGGGTGCATACCTCTTCGTGCAAATTTCGTGTCGCCACTAGCCCCACCTCATTTTTCTGTTTCAGTCCCTGTGGGCAGGTATTTGACCCATTAAGCACTATAGCACTGTAACTGCTTAGGAAAATATTTGAGACCTGAAAAGAAGGCTTATGGCTCTAAAATATAAAAATCTAAATAATGTTAATTTTCTAAAGAAGCTGTACCAGTGAATAATCAAATAGCAGATAAAGTAAATGTTCTCTTTATGAAAGTACATGTTCCAAGTAATAAGTACCGAATGATAGAATATCACCATTTTGCAACCCCTAGTGAATTCAGAAATCAACCCATCTGAGCATCCACCACTGCTGGCATCACAAAATGAAAGATGAGACACGTGTGTCTCTAGAACATAAAGAGGACAATACAGTAGTCTTGTAGAGAAAAAATGAACCTGAATTTCATCATACATCTGCATCTAACTACCAAATTATAGAAAATACAAAGGACAAAAGGAAAAAATATGACAGAGGAACGTTTTTTAAAATGCTGCTACACCGATGCAAACAAAAAATCCAGACTATGGAAATTCTACAGGATAAACAAGTTTCTTCAATAAATAAATTGCAAAGGCAAAAGAGAGATTCAGAAGGAATGATCCATAGGTTAAAAAGAGACTTGTGAAGGTTGCATAACCATTGAATAGTAACGGTTGAACAACTTTGTTAATATATTAAAACCACTGAGGTGTATGTTTGAAAGGGCGAATTTTATGGTATGTGAATTATATCTCATTTTTTAAAATTTAATAACAGAGGACGGGAGAAGTGGTTGGGGAGCTAGATGAAAGAACAGTAACCATAAGCTGAAGATGGGTAATGAGTCCATGAGAACTGTCATTATATTATATTGTTCTGCCTATTTCATATGTGTTAGAAGTTATTCATAATAAAAAGAAAAAAAGAGCTTAGAAAAATGATTGCATTAACCAGTCAACTGAAAATTGTCTCACGTAGTTTTTACATATAATCGATTTTAAATTTCAGAAACAAAATAAAAGATTTCTTCTTAACTAAATTATTAATTTAAGTATTACATTATTTTAAAACCTTTTTTAAAGGTTAGAGCCAATTATCTTTAACGTAGAATGTGGGTACACTTAGATGAGTATTGATGTGATTTGGAGAGGGACCTTCAAAATAAGTGCAGCCGTGGCTGGGTAGCTCAGTCGGTTAGAGAGCATTCCAATACACCAAGGTTGCAGGTTAGAGCTCCAGGCAGGGCACATGCAAGAAGCAAGAAGCAACCGATGAATACACAAATAAGTGGAACAACAAATCCATGTTTGTCTGTCTGCCTGTCTGCCTGTCTCTCTCTTGCTTTCAAATTAATAAATAAAAAATTTTTAAATTTAGTGTATGCACATAATATGTACCCACTCACATAATGTAATAGGAAGTACACAATATTGCCTAAGAAGTAATAATGCCGACAACATGAACTTGAATCTAATCAAGATTTAAGCTGCAATGTCCAGTTACGGGAACTTCAAGGGAGAAAAAGAAACAAATTAAATAACATGTGAAACAATCAAACCCGGGAGGCCAATCTCCACAGTATCTGGCCTGGTCTCGTCAATGTAAGCCAATGGCATGAAAAACAAAGTGAAATAATACAAAAACAAAATGGGAAGGTGGTAACCCCTAATGAAATCACAGATGTAGGCAACGGCTCTGAGCATAAGGAAAAGAGACAAGCAGACCTGTGCCTGCTGACAGCAGTGCACATAGTCGCCCGTGAAGACTTCATCAATGAAATGAATCTGAATAAAATCAGTCTGTTAGCTTTAACTCCCAGTTTACAGGAAATAAAAGAGACAGGAAATATGTTAAATGACATCTTAAGGATGTAACCTCCAAAATATATAATGTGGAAAGCTATAAAACAAACAGCCTATTTTCTTTAACATTTGATATGCACACATTTCAAGGGAAGGAAAGAGGAAAGGGGACCTACAGATTAACAGTTTTAAGAGACGTATCAGTTGAATGTAGTGTTTGGGCCTAGATTGTGTTTTGATTAGAATGAGCCAACTATGTTTTTAATGGGAAAATTTGGGTTTATATTCAGGAATCATTATTCATTTTTTAAGTATTGTGGATATGTATTTTTAAAGAGCTCTTATTTTTTTAAGAAGCTTGCTGAAATACTTACAGGTAAAAATGCTATGATGTCTAGGATTTGCTTCCAAGTGTTCCTGGAAGGGGCCGTGGGAGACAATGAGAGTGTCCATGAAACAAGGACAGCCGTGAGTTGATGGTCAGTGTAGCTGGGTGATGCGTACTTGCAGTTCATTGCACTAATTTCTCTGTTTTGTAAAGACTTTATTTATTTATTTTTAGAGAGAGGGGAAGGGAGGGAGGAAAGCTGCAAGTATGGTTGCCTCTTGCACGCCCCCTGCTGGGGAGCTGGCACGCTAGCCAGGCCTGTGCCCGACATGGAATCCAGCCCGGGATGCTTTGGTTTGCAGGCCAGCGCTCAATCCAATGAGCCACAGCAGCCAGGGCTATTTTCTCTGTTTTGTATGTATTTAAAATTTTCTTTCACAAAAAGTTTTGTAATAGTTCTTGAAAGAACAATTCCAAATCAAAGGGAATTTACAACAAAATGTATGTAGTCCTCTTGAACATATCAAACATAAAAGACAATTTCAGGACGATTGAAAAAATTTGACTTTGGAAAGGTTGTTAGGGAGATTTAGGGAATTAACGTTATATTTATTAACTGTGATAATAATAAGAAGGATAAGAAAATCTCTGGTTTTTTAAAGATACATAATAAAATATTTCAGAATGGACTATCATAGCGCCTTGAGAACACAGGACCACCTTTACCCTCCCAAGGCTCACCCGTGAAACAGCATGACAAGCAGTAAGAACTCAGTTTACACTAATGCAGGAAAAAAAGTCAGTTAGACTTGCAGAATTAGCAAGAAGTCTGAAATCGAGAATATTTTCCAGGAAATTCTATTTTATAAATGTTAAATACAGGGATTCAAATGACTTTACAGAATTGTTTTCCAGTAGGGATTCTATAATTACAACTTATGGTGCAGTGGAGAAGTAGTGGATTGGGGGAGTGGTGGAAAGTACTCACTATGTTAGGAAATCCTGTTTTATTTGTCAGATTGGCATCTTCAGCTCAGCACTGTGTAACCCAGTGGCTCTCAGCTCTGGCCGCACATTGGACTAACCCAAGGCCACTTGGGAAAATACTCACATTCAGCTCCATCTAGGCCATGTAGATCAGAATCTCTGGAGCACAGGCACTGGCCGCATTTTCAAAGTCCCTGCGTTATTCTCATCTTCAGCCAGGGTGGGGAACACAAGTGTAGTCCTCTCTGCCCCCAGTTTTATCACGTGCAAAACATAAGTACAGTCAAACCTCGGTTCTCCAACGTGTCCCATCTTGAACAATTTGGTTCTCAACCAAGTTGTTGACGGAAAAAATGTCTCAGTTGTAGAACAAAACTTCGGTTCTCGACCCAACAACCCTTTCATGCTGATATGAATATCTTGTTTCAGCCGCATCTGAAAATTGATTGTGAGAGGTCAGTCAAATAGCATATGCAAAAATGCATGAAAAAGTATAATGTTTCATGTAAACATGAGGTCATATTCACATGTTAGCAAGCAATGTGTAGCAATCCTTTAAAAAAGTTAGTTTGTTGTAGGTAAAATATGGCCCAGCATCATATAAATTCCTTGATGAAGAATCAAAGGTAATTAACCGCTTGTCATCAGCCCAGATCCATATGCATTGATATTGAGAAGCCTGAAATAATGACTCTTTAGTTTATTTAATTACAAAAATTATAAG